AATGTAAGTCCTCCCTTTGGCGGCTTTAACTTTCATGCACAGCTCTGGGCCATCCCCGGGGCCTTCCTGAGACTTTCTGGATGGTCCTGATGCAGCTTCTGCCTCCAGAAGTAACTAATCTAGGTTTTCCAGTCAGGGAACCAGCCTGTGGTACCAAAGCCAGCAAATGTAAGGGAGAGGGGTTGCAAGAAACCATTTAGGAACTTTTGGGGGTATTACAGAAGAACAGCCAACCTCAGGGATGGGGTAAGAACCCAAGTCCTGACTGGACAGGTTTTCTGCCCAATTACGGTAGCTCTGGGTAGATCACAGAGGATAGGATATCCTTATAGGTTATGCTCCTGCTTGAAACCTTACTGGGTATTTTGGGATTATAGGGGAGCATGGTAGATGACGCCTTACTCTGCCTGAAGAGGAGCCTGAGCTCTGTGAACAGTACCTACCCAAAGGCTTTGCTGGCTTATGTCTTCACGTTGGCTGGGGACACAGAGACCCGGCAACAGCTCCTCAGAGACTTAGAGGAGGAAGTTCTCAAAACAGGTAGGGACAGTTCTGATTAAGAATGTTCTGTTTGGGCAGCTGCTCTTCTGTGAACTTCATGAATTCTCAGACACACCTTACTAGATGCCTTTAGGTGAACTCATTTCATTTTTATGAGGTATGCATCGTTTTTTTTAAAGAATGACTCCAGATTATTCTGTTGAGATAGTTCAGTGAAACGTTTGTCCTGTTCCAATGAAAGGCCATTCTTTTGTCCATCATATCTGTGGGAGCATTTTTCTCCCATAAACTTCTTTCTGAGAATTTGGGGGTGGGGGTGGGGAAAGTAATGTTTCTGTTCTGAAAGGTCTCTCCAGGCTTATAGCTGGTGTCAGAGCTTGTTCAGTCTCCAGAATGGATGGGCCCAAAAATGTTGGCTTTTTTATTTGGGAGGCTGGGAAACTTAGGAAGCAAATGGATGCCTTAAGCATACAGCATACATTTCTCCCCTTAAAATTCATGAAGCCTCCCTCTCAAAAATTTTCTTTTTTAAATAGACTCATGTGCTATGGCTTCCTATTAATGTCCCATTTTGTCCATGCCTCCTGAGTTATATTCTTGCACTAAAACAAAGGTTATACTTTTGAAAGGAAAAGGCTAAACATTCTAGGAGCAAAAGAGTGCTTCAGAGAATATGTCCGTTAGGATGAGCTGGGTTGGCAGCCTAAACTTGTTAATGTTTGCTAATAACTACTCGGTGGGCTTTTTGCTATCCTATCATTAAGTTACTATTTTTCATTATGGAGTTTACTGACAGGCTCCCCCTTGTTTATTTTCCTAACAGCCCTATAAAGAGCATCATTACAATTCCCATTTTGGCAGTACAGGTAATCCTCACTTAACAACCACAATAGGGACCAGAAAATTGGTCGTTGAGCAGGATGGTCGTTAAGCAAGTCACCACATGACCAGACCCCATTTTACAACCATTTTTATGATGTCATTAAGCAAATCACTGCAGTCATTAAGCAAATCATGTGATCATTAAGTGAATCATGTGGTCATTAACCAAATCCAGCTTTCCCAATTGACTTTTTTGCCAGAATTAGCTTAACAACCATGTGATTTGCTTAATGAACGTTGTAAAAAAGGTAGCAAATCACGATCAGATGATCATGGGGGTAGTGTGACAGTTTGTGATGGTCATAAGTGCAAGTACAGGTCATAAAGCACTTTTTTATGAGGCCATTATAACTTCAAACCATCATTAAATGAGTGGTCATTAAGTGAGGACTACCTGTAATATGAAACTTGCCCACAGACATCCAGGAAGTAAATAATTGAGAGGAATTTGAATCCAAATGCTATGTTCTAATCAGTGACTTTCTATGAAGGTGCCAAGGGGGTAAGAGAAAAGGCAGCTCCTGAACAACAAGCTGCTTAGACCTCCCATAATTAATTAATTAATTTTAAAGAGATACAAATTTACAATGTAAAATACTCGCTAACACAAAAGGCTTGCCTACAGGAGTTTAGCTAAGCTCTCAGAGTGGCTTGTTATTCAATATATATGGAAGTTTAGCTTCTAAGGTTTCTTTCTCTTTTTTAGAAACATCAGTCTCGCAGACTGAAATCCTTGCCTACTTTCTCTTGGCTTACCTGTCTAAACCAGAGATATCCACAGATGATATTAAGCATGCCTCCAAGATAGTGCGGATCCTTGTCAAACTACAAAATCCATATGGAGGCTTTTATTCCACGCAGGTAAAGTTGTGGGAAGGGAACTATTGGAGTAAAGCATATGTTGGTGTTAGGATGGGTGATGAATCAAAAATAACAATTCTGCCAGTGGATCATTGACCCAGTAAGAACTTTCCCCATGTGTATCTCACCAGTATTTCCTGCTGGATCCCCATAATATTGCCTTCATCTCATCACTAGCCACTGGAGGCAGCCTCAAGTCATCCTTAGCCATACCAGTGTCAAAGTATTCCACCATCATTCCAAGGACAAACTCAATCTGTGCAAAATCTGTTAGGCTTTGTTACCCACTACTTTGTCACTGAGAACAGAGGCAATAGATGCAAAGAGGGATTAGCAATGGGGACAACACATTTCATGGTAGTATAGCTTTCTGCTAATCCAAGAATGGGTGGATAGCACTTCAGTTCAGCAGATGGGGGAGAGTGATAGCTATGGCTAACAGAGGCAGAGTTTGTGACAAAACTCTTCAGGCAACTTTTATAGTAGGAAATGCCCTAAGGGAAGGAGATTTCAAAACAGAATTGTAAATCTGTTCAATTTATCATATTAAAGTAGAAAATAATTAAAAGTCTTGTATTTCTGTAAGTCATACAGCAAGATGCTTCATGTAAAACTGAGTCATAGATTCAGAGCCACAGAACATGTCATGTACAGGTAGTCCTCAGGCAATTGGGACAGGAATTTCTGTCACTAAGTGATGCAATCATAAAGCGCAATGTCATGTGACTGCATTGCTTAGCAACAGCAGTCCTGGTTGCTATCATAACCCCAGGACTATGCAGGTCATTAAATAAGGACCTCATGTGACCATGATGTGGAAAGAGGCAGGGGTGCCAGGCAAACACACAGGCGGGTAAGAGCTACAGGCAGGTGAGTGGGCATTAGGGAGTGCAGGTGGGCGAAAAGCGGCAGGAGCAGGAACGACTTGTGAGCTGCCAGTTTCCCCATTGACTTTGCTTTGCTACTACCATCGTAATTGTGACCCAGTTATCAAGCACCCAAATCTCAATCATCAGTGACCATGGGGACGCTGCAGTGGCCACAACTCCAAGGACTTGTTGTAAGTCCCCCTCATTCGGTGCCGAATGAGGGGACGGCCTTTGAATGGTCTCTGAACAGTTCACAGTAGTCATAACCGAAGGACTACCTGTATATTGATATACATGTTATAGGGAAAAGCTGCAGCCAGTACTCTGGAAAAAGAGGTTTCCTAATGAGGACACAGCATAGTCCAGCATCAGACTGCTTCAGGTCAGTTATGCTTGTGGGAAGGAGTCATGCAAATCTTACATTCATTTATATACCTAAGCAAGTATTCATTTGATGGGTAAGAAGAAATGGAGCATATGTGTTTTCATCAATAATTAAGTGCTTGGGGGGAGCAAGATGATCATATGCAAAAAAATGGAAAAGCAATGAAATACCTACAGTAGAAGAGTTATAAAATTAACTGAACTTGCAGAAATGGCCAAGCTGACCAGTCTTGATGAAGGACTGGAAAGATGTATGAACTTTTGTTGAAAGAAGAAAAGACTGAATTGATGATTTCTGGATTTGGGGATTAAAAAGGGCCAAAGAGGATGGGGAAAAAAATAAGATGACAATTAGCTGATAGAAAGAAGCGCAGAAGGCATAACTATATGTTTTCATTTCATTCCTTTTTCTTTCTTTTTTGTTTGTTTTGCATATTTTTACTGTATCAAAAAATTCTAATAAAAATATAAAAAATAATAATTAAGTGCATGGGAATAGAATATAAAAACTCAAAGAATGTTGAGAGAAGTTTGATGTAAATAGTCACTCAAAAGAATAAACATTCACTATGCTGGTAAGAAAGACGCTGCTTTAGAAGAAGCTGCAGCAGCGTTTATTCAGGAAAAGCAGAGAAAATGTGGTTAGGGGAGTTTCCTGCCTCTGAGAAGAAGCCAGTCAAAGGACAGGAATTAGCCTAGAACGAGGTAAAGCGCAGCAGGCAAAACAGAGAGCAGCATTAGGGAACAGAAATAGGAAAAGCCTACTTTGAAAGTGGAGCAGGAAAATGCACCTGGAGGACACATCTGTGGGGTTGAGCACAGTACAGGGCAGTGTTGTCCATTCCTTCCCTCCAAAATGGTTGCTGGCTCATACTTGCAACAAGGCAATCTGGTGGTGCAGATCAGCCATGAGAGGGAATGAAGTCCCTCCCAGGATACCAAGGGACTAAAGCCAAGAATGAAATTCACCTTCCAGGGAACCCACCTTGTGCTTGGGGCGTGGGAGGGAAGGACAAAGTATGAGCAAGAGCTACTGCTCCACAGGGAAGATGGACAGAGGACTTAACATAAGCATGGTGTCAGAGTCTGCACACTCAATCCCAAAATTCAGTAAACCCTCTGGAGACCAAAAGTTCCATCAGAGATTTCTTTATTCAGGAGAAGCATACAGCATCATAGTTATTCTACATAGCAAAGCCTTTTATGGCAGGTCAAGCAAACGGTTAGAATAACATTCCCAGTATTTCACTATTGATCTATGGTTAACAGTAAAAGCAAAAGTTTGGTTAGCAAGAAAAGTGAAATAAAAACAATTGAAGGTTCTGGTTTGCGTAGATCCTGACATTCCGCCCTCCAATGGAACGAATGTTCCTACATTCGGAAGAAAATCTGGAAAAGAAGATCGAGATATTACAATGATCATTAATATGGTTACTTAGGTTTGTCAGGGTATTTTGAGTGAAAGC